TTGATTTTTTCCCTTACTTTTCCTTATTCTTTATTTTGTTGTAGTTGTTGTTTCATTATTATGTATTTGTTTGTGTTTTTATTGTCTGATTTTATATTGGAAGCCGCCTAGAGTGGTCCGGTGGTCCAGATAGGCGGGGTATAAATCAAATAAATAAAAATAAATAATAAAATAAATATGTTTTCTGTGTAATCTTAATTGCAAAAATGATGTAGCTGTGCAAGTGGAGGTTGGAAAGGTCTAGGAAATTATATGCCTGCTTTCCACAAGTGTTGTTTTTCAATTACCTGCTTGCTTCCCATTACATCTGGTGCAAGAATGAGGGATGTTTGGCCCTCCGGACTTGAACTTAGAGAACTGGCTGGGGGATTCTGGGTGTGGTAGTCCAAAAAGTACCTTATCCGATTACTGTTCCAGATACTATATTGCTCCCAGCATCTCTCAACATTCCCCAAGCAGGCTAAGGCTAACTGGAGAGACAGCCTAGTTACAAAGTCATCTTCCATGATGGACAGAGTTCCTACTCCGCTCCTCTGAAGATGCCGGCCACAGAGACTGGTGAAACGTCAGGAAGAACAACCTTCAGAACACGGCCAAAGAGCCCAAAAAACCCACAACAACCATCAGATCCCGGCCGTGAAAGCCTTCACAAATACATTTTCTTGCCATATCTTGTGCAGTCAGTTCCATAACTGACTGAGGGCATGTTGTTGTTGGAAAGAAAGGACAAGGTTGCCTCTCGCTATTGCATATATAGATGCAATCAGAGGAGGCAGTTTTAATTTGCTTCAGCCTTGGTGAAGGAACAGGACCCTTCATTGCACCTAAGAGCAGCAGGGTAGTTGCAAGAGAATAGGTATCGTTCAGAATGGTAATATGCCAACCGTGGCATTCTTCCCACACAGAAGAATGGCAAGGCAGCTTTTCCTGCTCCCAGACTCTGTTGCTTGGGACTAGTGCCTTGCTCTGCCTCAGGCAGATTAAAAACATTTTTTAAGTTGATTTTTTAAAATTCAAATCATGGATTAGATCATGATTAAAATCCATTTGTTTGTTTTTTAAATTATGGATTTTTATCCACCCTGCTCTGTCTAAAGGAAAGGCAGGTCCTTGTAAATTCTGTGCTAATTATGTGTTGAGAAGAATAAATACTGCCCAAAATATATAACATGTGGCTGTCCCAATGGCAGAATCATATATTGTTGGACTGGTTTTGGAAGTCATACAACTGAGTGCTTCGGCTTTCACTTTTCATATGGCTTCTACTGCATATAGAGCATTTGGAGGGAGTATAGAGAATTTCAAGAGACAGGCCACAAACCCGCATTTAGTTTAATTGCTAGTTTAATCAGCCAAAAGTTTATTTGATTAATCATTGAGTAGCAACGGTAATTGATGAGAGTTGAACTTTAGTCGGTGGGTCTGGTAAAAGATATGTGTAATTATTTTGAGACCGTTATCAGTTAACTGATTCATTCCTTCTTACGGGGTATGAATACTAAAAATAACATTTCCTGTAAAAAAAAAATACATAACAGTATACTGCCTTTAAAAGGCCAAAAGGGTAGAACATTGTTTGAATGTTTTTATCTCTTTATCAAGCAAGATTTTATTAAAAGGAGGAGTGGGTGTTGGAGGGAGGAAGTCTTGACTTGATGCTAAAGTCACAGTTTCTGCATAATGTCCTGAGATGGAATGAGGGAGGAAGGCCCTGTAGACATTCAGATTCGGCTGCAGCAGATGATGTGATGACTTTAACTTTTAACTAGACTAACCCCTGGGGACATTGCAAGAAGAACTTGATCCTCCATTTTTGAAACTATGAAATTAAGTTATCAACTCAAAATGTTTTGGCTAAAAAAATATAAAGCTGTGGTAAATCTCATGCTTTTTTCTGTGCTAGCTCATGCAGATTTATTGTATCTAAGGTGCAATCCTACACACAGTTACCTAAGGTAAAGCTCTACTCAACTCAGTTGAGGATGTATTTCTGAGTAGGCATGTCTTGAATTGCTACTTCCATAACTACTCCAAACAGTTTAGAACATTCTCATTTCAGGAGCTAAGCGTGGTAAGACCTGAGGCCATGCCTCAGTGGGAGAGACCATGAGGAAATACCACGGATCTCCAAGGCTGGACTAGGAGCAAATCCTATCTGAAACCCTAGAGAGGCACTGCCAACCGGAGTGCTAACTCAGGGATTATTTTAGATAAAGAAGTACTGGGCCGGATGGACTAGTCATCTGACAGTGTGACAGTTAATGAAATTTCTAATTAATCAATTAAAAGATAGACTGTTAATCAGCTTCAGCTCTCTAATTTGATAGCTATGGGCCTCCATTTTCCTCCACCACAGAAACTGCTCCTGCCACCAAAAGAAGATTCCAATGATTGCTAGATTTCAGAATTGTTGACCTAGTATTACGTTCAGACTGAAGTTAAAAAAAAATATGTCTTTCACAGCGTATTAGTACACCACAAAATACATTAAAGAGGCTGTGCAAATTTCACATTGATGGAAAAATCTCTCTGACTCCTTTGCAGATCTTCTACTCTGAGCGGTAGCCCTGTTATCTCTGATATCTCTCTCATCCGTCTTTCCCCACATCCTGCGAGGCCTGCAGAGTCGCCTTTCAGCCACCCTCACCCATACATGAACTCCCACATGGAACACTACCTCCGGTCCATGCACAGCAGCCCCACCCTCTCTATGATCTCGGCTGCAAGAGGCCTCAGCCCAGCTGATGGTAAGTGGGGGATATGACTAAGCAGTTAACTTTGTTGATACGCCATATTTGAGGCTGGAAAAGTTACTTCTTTAGAATGCCAGTGCCCAGCATGGTCATTGGCTATGCTGACTGAGATATTCCAGTAGATGTCATCCAAAGAGGTAATTCTTCTCTCTGTACTGTATATGAGTATAATAATAGTTCTCGGATAATCTTAGTAAAAGTAGGAAGGGCAATATCTGTTGGACAAATTATTCTCAATTATATTGGTACTAGTAGCCATTTTAAAGGAAGAGCTTACATTATTGGGTTGTTTCTGTTGATGAAGAAATAGGATACTAATGAGTTTATCAGCAGTTTCCTGTAATTGATTCCAGATGCTCTTGTTTATTGTTCAGTGTAAGTGTCCCACTAATTCACACAAATTTGTGGAAATGTGTATAGCTTGTATCTCTAAAACGGGTCTTCTGAGTGGTTCAAAAATATATTTATTATTTACATATTTAATATATTTTACCCCAGCTTTCTCCTTAAAAAGGACCTGAGGTGGTGTGCATCATTAAAAGACAATATTTAAAAGCTAGAAACAGTATGTATGACAATATTTTTAAAAAGAATCAAACAAATGCCACACTAAAAATGTTAAACAAAATCAATAACAAAAACACATTAAGCGCAAATGGAGTACATTGCCCCATTTAAAAAAAAACCCTTTAGACAGCCAGTCACTAAGCAAAAACCTGTTTGAAGAGAAAGGTCTTCATCAGCTTGTGGAAGGACAACAAAGATGGGGTCAGCCTAGCCACCTGTGGGAGGGAGTTCCAGAGTCTGGGTGCAACAACAGAGAAAGCCCTCTCAGGTTTCTGCACCAAACACAACTGTGAAAGTGAAGATGATGTGACCACGAGAAAGGCTTCTCCTGCTTTTCTTAGCACTTGGGCAGGCTCATAAATGGAGCCGTGGTCCTTGAGATTACTTGGACCCGTGTTGTTAGGGCTTTGTAGGTTAAAACCCACACTTTGAATTGTACTCAGGAATAAATCAGCAGCCAGTGGAGGTGCTGTAACAGAGGGGTTATGTGATCCCTGTAAGCTGTAACCGGTCCCAGTTAACAATCAGACTGCAGCATTTTGGACCCGCTGAAGTTTCTTAGATATTTCCAAAGGCAGCCCCATGCAGAGTGTGTTACAGTAAGCCAGCTGAGGTACAATGAAGACATGTGTCATTGTAGCCAGATCAGAACTTCCCAAGGAATGGGCACAGCTGGAACAATAGTTTTAATTGTGCAAATGCACTCAGGGCCACCACTGAAACCGAAGCATCACTATTGAACTCTTCCGTGTTCACTCATCTTTCTGAAAGTATTTCAGGTGTAGTGATAGCAACATATGAACAGTCCTGCTGGATTCAGTGAAAGGTCTATTAGTCTGGTTTTCCTGACTAAATAGCCCAGAATCGGGTCCAGCCATGTGCCTATGAGCAGCTGACAAGCAAGGCAGGAGCAAAAGAGCACACTTCTCATATTTTCCAGGAACTAGTGTTCAGGGTCATACTGTGTCTGACACTGGGAGAAATACATTGTGCTCATGACTATGTTATTGTTATTTTCCCCACTTTGCCCAAAAGGCTTGTATTGTTTCCAACAGTGGCAAAGACATAGACTTTCTCTGCTTCTTCTACCCCACTTCAGTTCATTCTGGGGGACAGAGTGAAGTACTGTGTCGCTTCTCAGTGGACATTCATTTCTGCTCAGAACCTCCAGCTGTAAGCTTTCAGTTCGGCTGTCAATTACACTGCAAGCTAGCTTTCAGTGTGCACACACAAACACAGAGAAGGAAAAACTCTACTGGGGGAGTGGATTACTACATTAACCCTGTGCTATGAGTTCAGTGGTTAAACTGCAGTACTGCAACAAAGACTCTGCTCACAACCTGAGTTCACTCCTGAGCTTAAGTGGCAAGTTGACACAACCCTCCATCCTTCCAAGGTCAGTAAATTGAGTACCCAGCTTGCTGGGGGGGGGAGCAATGTATAGCCTACATGATTCAATTGTAAACCACCCAGAGAGAACTTTTGGCACAATGGGGCACTATATAAGCAGCATACTGTGCTTTGCTTTGCTCTCCTTGAAAGGTTTCCTGAAGATTTCCTAGAAAGTGGCAGATTTTTGGAAAAAAATGGCTTTTGAAAATGGTTTAGACATAAATCCTGGCAACTCCTCAGCTAACCGGGGGGAAAAATGAGTGTAGAGGTTTGTTACGTCTGGAAGTTGATGGTAGAGATGGGCATGAACCCCCAGCTCAGTGATTCATGCCACTTCAGCCTTCAGCCTTGCTTCCTCCAGTGGGCACCCATTCAGAGGCAGCACCCTGGCTTCCCTGTCCTGCCTCCTCCAGGTGCTGCCTCTGTTTGTCCAAAGAACAAACTGGCACGATCCTCCGAACCAGTGGTTCATGCCCATCTCTAGTTGATGGCCCTCACCATGCACAATGTTATTCACGTTTCTCATGACTCCCTTTCATCTTCTGCCCATCCCACAAGTTTCAGAGCCCCAAATGTTGTAACTTTCTTTCATTGGCAGCTGCTTCTGCCCCTTGATTATTTTGGTTGCTTTTTTCCGCATGTTCTGCTTTTAAAAACATTCTCCAGCTCTACAACGTAACATCTGAAGTGTGGTGACCAGAATTACACACAATATTCCAAGTGCCATTTCACCTGAGATTTGTATGAAGGCATTATGATATCAGCAGTTTTGAATCCTTTTCTAATAGTTCCTTCCTGGGATTTGCTTATTCGGATTTTTCTTTTTTATATATCCATCCCAAATCTTGAGCTATAACAACTTTTCACAAAGTCTTTATATTTAGCTAGCTACCTATTTTTTAATTATTTTGAAAACATAGTGATCGACTGCTATTCCCATCCAGTCAGATTAATTAAGCTGAAGAAGAAGACAAAGAACATAAGATGGAACAGGGGTTAGAAAATTAAAAATAATAGTGGGGTCTAATGCTGATCATCGTCAGAATCGCTGGTGCTGGGCTAGATGGGCCAGTGGGTGATTCAGTATAAGGCAGCCTGCCATGTCCCTAAGCGTAGGCTGAGGGCAGGAAATGAATGGAGTGGGCCTTCTCTGTTGCTGCTTCCATGGAAATCCCCCCCATAGGAAGCCAAGCTGAGCCCCATCTTTGCCATCCTTCCACAAACAAGTCAGCATCTTCCTTTTCTGCCAGGCTTTTGGTCAACTATTAAATGCCGAAGAGAGTTTTCTCCCCCTCCCCTAATGCAAAAACATGAAGCTGTTCTGTCTTCATTGTTTTTCAATAAGTTTTGGAACTTTTTTTAATCTACTAGTTTTAATTTTATATCGGTTAAATTGTTTTTTAATACTGTAGTAATTTATAGTTTTTAAGCTTTTAATAGATTGTTTTAGTATTGTAACTTGTAAGCTGCCTGGGGTCCTCTTGAGGAGAAAGGTGGAGTATAAATCATTTAAATAAATAAATGTCTTCATGTTAATGATAAATACGAATGCACTTTGTGAAAAATTTGTCAGTAGCAAAATGGACTGTTAAATTGTTTTTTAATACTGTAGTAATTTATAGTTTTTAAGCTTTTAATAGATTGTTTTAGTATTGTAACTTGTAAGCTGCCTGGGGTCCTCTTGAGGAGAAAGGTGGAGTATAAATCATTTAAATAAATAAATGTCTTCATGTTAATGATAAATACGAATGCACTTTGTGAAAAATTTGTCAGTAGCAAAATGGAACTGAGTAAGTAACAAGCTCCCTTTCCACCGGTGACTTTGTACAATTATTTAGTTATATGACCCAAAGGAAAGAGACAATATAGTTTCTGATCCTAAGCACTGTGCCTGGGATGTAGCCAAAAAGTTTAATTTTGTCAAATGGGAATCGGATGGGAACTCCATTCAGCCAGGCGGACTTAACACATCTCATAAATCCTAGTTTTTTCTGTTGATGCTGATTTTGGTTTTGCTGATCCTGGAGGCTTCTCCTCCTAGCAAGTGTTAAGATTCCAAAAAATTCTACTCTAAGCAAAGTACAGATGCGTGCTATTGCTCTTGTAGACTTTCTCCCTCCCTACTCCTGAGCCCTCTTTCCTGCCTGTGAAAAATATATATATTATTATTGGACATTAGAAAGGAACCTTTGTGTTGCTTTTCAGTTTCCTTTCTTTTCCCCCCCAGCCCCCCCCCCCCCCTGCAAGCCACAGTAAATAAGTTAATGGGGAGCAGGCAAAGAGGCAAGTTGCAAAATTCACAAATGGGCAGAAGTGAGGCTAATTGGTTCTGGCATAGCAAATGGTTTTCTACTGCCAGGCACTAAACATATTCTCTCACAGATTCTCTCTCTCTCTCTCTCTCCCTCCCTCCCTCCCTCTCTCCATATTAGACTTCTTCTTTAATATCTGCTGCTGCATGTTAACTGGGATATATTTGTTTTTTTCTTTCTTTCATTATAGACTGGGATGTTCATTCTGACAGCATTATTGCACCTAAGTCCCTCACCTCCTCCACTTCTCTCCCTTCTACATGCTCTCTCTCTCTCTCTCTCTCTCTCTCTCTCTCTCTCGCTCTCACTCTCTCTCTCTCATATCTTTTTCTCTGGTGAGCCCTGTCTTCATGGAGAGGGATTATTAGAAGGGGGTGGAAATGAGAGATTGTTTATATATTGCGGAAATGGAGGAATGTGGAGGGCCCCAGCCTGGTGTCTTTTGTCCACAGACAGCACACGTCTCAAACACACGTCAGAGATGTAATGTACAAGATCTGGGCAGGGGGGAAAGGTTGATTCCAGCATCCCTGCTGAAGTCTGGCTCTTTGGGGGAATGTTTTATCTTTGTTGTTTCTTCTCCTCTGCTCCCCTCCCCACTCCACTTGCATGTGTCGCCTGTGCAGTCGCTCACGAGCATCTGAAAGAGAGAGGTCTCTTTGGCCTGCCCCCTCCTCCTCCAGGAGCCAACCCTGCGGATTACTATCACCAGATGACACTCATGGCCAGCCACCCCAATCCATACGGGGACCTCCTCATGCAGAGTGGGGGAGCAGCCAGTGCAACACACCTTCACGATTACCTCAGCCCTGTAGATGGTAAGTAAGGCAGGTGGTGTCTTCCTTCACAGTGCATAGAGTTTGAAGACATTCTAGCTTTATTGACTGTTTCGTGGTTGGGTGGCCGGCATGGTGTTCCTTGTGTCTACAGCAATCACACCAGTATCTGACATTAGCAGCAGAATTCACAATAATCTTCTGTGTGTGTCTGTTTGTCTGTGTCTGCGCTTATGTTTCTCAAAATGCAGCATAATACAAGGCATCAACTTATCGGACCAGACTTTCGCAGTCATTGAGTACAAGCTTAAGTTTTCCTCTTTTTTGACAAGATGCAAGCAGTAAGACCAGAAAGCCATGGGACAAACCCTTTTCCGCCCTCTGTGAAAGCATAGAATTTGTATTAGAAAAACTGAACTACAGTACTATTGGTCGCAGACACCCTTCACTAGACTGGAAGAAGGAACAGCTGCTTTACAGTATGAAACAAACATGGGACAAGGATTCTCAAGATGTGGAAGAAAAACAGTTTTATTCCAATGTTTTGTTTGCTCTGCCTGTTTAGGTGGTACACAGTAGGGCTTGAAGTAGTAGCCAACTCCTTCACCTCAAAAAGGGTTAAGCGGATGAAGATTTAATTCAGCAGACGTAGCCTAGTTTTTGTGGCAAGTATTTCTTCCAGTCATTGAGATCACTGGATTTTTGCTCATTTCTTGACATGTGAGCAGAGTTCTGCCTACTTCTCATCTGAGCCCAGCTAACTTCAGTGAGAGAGATGTAAGCATGGGGCTTAACTTTTCCATTGAAACAAATGGGACTTGAAATGTTTCACTTTAGCTTGATCGTGTGTACTTTGCATGGCCGTTCATGGAAGCTGTAAAGGTGGCTACCACTGGGAGATGAGAGAGCAGAAAGAAATAATTGTCAAGGGCTGAAATAGTACAGAAACCTGAGCAGCCTGAGGTGTTAACTTATGACCGTATTTGGGCTAAGTAGAGGAGAGTTTACCAGCCAGTCGGGGGGGGGGGGGGGAATACCACAGCACTCTTTAGATGTATGTGTCAGGTCATTTGCGGTACCATGGCCATGTGGTAAATTTAATAAGTCCCTTTGGAAAATTGCCTTGGTTGCATGAGGCTTTCTGAAGAACCACCAGTTTACAGGGACAGATTTTAGCAGAGCCGTATTACTGTGTTGTAGCAAGAAACGAAGAATCTGGTGTAACTTAAAGTCTACTTGATTTATGCTGACTTGGGCTTGGGTATTCACTGACTTAATTCCATGAAATGGAAGGGAAAAGTAGTGATACAGCCTGGTGTGTGTAAGTGGTTTTGTCGTTGTTTGCTGCCGACAGGTCTCCTCCGACTTATGGCAACCCTATGACGGAGTGATTTCCAAAATCCTCTGTCCTCAACAGCCCTGCCCAGCTCTGCAAACTCAAGCTGTAGTTCTTTGTGGGGTCAATCCATCTCATGTTTGGCATTCCTCTTTTCCTGTTGCTTCCAACTTTTCCTACCATTAATGTCTTTTCCAGAGAGTCTTACCTTCTCATGATGTGCCCAATATAGAACAGCCTCAGTTTCAAGATTTTTGCCTCCAGAGATAGTTCAGGCTTGATAAGTGGTTTCATGGAGGAGAAAAGCACATAAACTTGTTTTCAGTTTGTCAGATATTGAACAATCAATTATGTTTTTGTCTATCTTTCCTCTACCCATGACAAACTCTTCTTGACTGCTGCCATTCAGACCATGATAAAACTAGTTAGTCTTCAACATGTCATAGAGCTCTTCTCAGCAGGCAGCTCTGGAGTAATATTTCTACTTCTGCACAGCTGCACTGATGTTAATTTCACCCAGGAGGACAGAAATTTGGCAACCTCCAAAGAATGAGATCAGCGTTTAAATTTGGTCCTCTGAGAAAACCATTCTGTAGCCTTTCATAGATTCTTAGTAGCTGTGCAACTGCTAAGACTGAAGGATTTAAAAACTTACTTTTATACTAAAACTTGCTTTTATGCTCTTACGTTACTCTGGATTTTCACTTTCTGTAACTGTTACGTTCCTCTAGCTTTCAATGTACCACACAAACACACAAAAGCTCAGTAACTGCTTGCGATTACATGGTACATTCACATTATATGACAGACTGGGTCATTTTCCAATACAACCACTGATACAGAAGGCTGCCTAGCCAACCTCTGGACAAAGGAAATTATAATTGGTCACTGCAAGCAGTGAAACATCTGGCCTAGTCAGCTGAACTCCAGAAGTCAGGGCCAGCTCTATTGCTAAGTAGAATGGGTTGGTCATGGCTTGGCGGACCAGTGCACTCTCTAAGTGAGCCTGCTTCTTTCGAGTGTGGTGGAGGATGCTGTCCTATTGCCTATGTTGAAGAAAGCTTCAACAGCCAACACAGATGAAGTGAGATCTACCTAGAATGTCTGCCTTTGTTCTTTCTTTGAGGAAACACCTCTCTGCTTACCATGGTGATGTGTATTCTTGAAGATGGGGGGCCATGCTTTTCTAACTTTCCAGATCCCAGCAAGCCTATAGCCTACACCAGGGGAAACTTAATACATGACCTGAGGAATTCATTTTATTGTCTGCATAATCCTCTCCTCCGTTACGTCTCAAGACCCCCATGCAAACTAAAAGGAATCAAGATGAAGCTTCTTCTCTCCTCCCCGGCCCCATTTACATGCCTTTGTGCCATTTTGATTGATCTAATGAAGATATCATTCCAGTATGGATTTTGGCATTTCTTTTCCTGAGGAAGCAAAATGTCCCAGGAGTTATAGTTCAACATCTCTGGAGAGCACAAGGTAGGGGATGGATGTTCTTATTGGATGCATGTAAAAACAGATAAAATAAGCCCAGCTAGCTTCCATTTGAGAGATCCAGGAGGACTGCTGTTGGACCTGACACACTGTGCCATATTTTAAGGGAGGAACACTGAAGCAACAAAGAATCAAAATGTTGATGGTGTGCATACATGTTTCCCAATGAACTGGGATGTTTGCATATGTATACACACACACACACACACACACACATATGCTGTATGCCAACTTCTTGCCATACATGCCAGACCCAATGTCATTTTGGTCTTGGAAGTGTCTTATCTCTGCAATGAAAACATGTGAAGTCTCTAACCAGAATAAATTAGCTGAACTGGAATAATTCAGGATTGCAGGAGTAAAGCTGGAGTAATAGACTTTAAAGGAACAACAAAGTGGTATTTCTAAAATGGTGTTTCCTGACCTTCTTCCAAAAAGCTTTGGGTGATATACAGTATATGGTTCTTCTCTGCTTCTTTTGTACTCACAACAGTCCTATGAGGTAGGTATAGTAGAGTGAATGACCCAATGTTTGGGTGGCCTCAAGTTATTTAGTGAGTTTTATGGCTTACTTAAATTTCATGGAGACTTAAACCTTCATAGTCCTAATTCAATGCTAACTACCACACCATGTTGACTGTCATAATGGAGTACAAATGGCCTTTCTGTTGTGAGCTGATTGGGTGGAGAAATACATTGGGAAAGATACAAAGAGCATATGTAGCCTTTTGCCAGGTCCCATTCCAACATATGGCACACAAAGGATGGCCCAGTTTTACTTGAATGATTGCAGGTTCCTAACTATTACTCTGTGCCATTCTTCTTTCTTTAAAAAAAGATGGAGACCAATCTCTTATTCTCTTGAGGAACACTCTTTGGGCAAGAAATATCTTTAAAAGGTATATGCAGACGTCCCATGAGAAATGTTACTATTCTTACCAAAATTCCATTGGCTTCTTTGAAATATCCAAAATGTTTCATCTGGGAAAAAACTATTACATATGCTTTAAATGTATCAGTTAGTCCTGCAAGTTCCATAGTTGAAGTTCAATGTAAATAAAGATGTAAATAAAGATGGAACACCTGAAGACTGTCAATGTTATTAGTGCCTGTATTAGCCACATAATTATGAGGATACCTGCTTGGACTAGATTAACCTAGGAAAATTAGAATCCCTAGAATATAGACTCAGTATTACTATTTTGCCACCATAAATGGGCTTGTGAGTCCTAAGGCTGGGCTTATTTATAAAAAAAAACAAGTATAATTCAGCTTTGATGACATTCAGTGATTTTTCTGGTGCTTAACCGAAGGTAATGTTTACGAGACTGAAGAGGTAGCCCAGCACGTACTCCATCGCCAAGGTCTTTTGATGAACGTTTTGCTAAATCCTGGGTTCCAAAAGAATCTTATTTATTTCTGCCGGCTTAAGGGCTCCTAGACAACCACTCTGGGCCCAGCAAGAATCTCCAAACACTTTGAACTTCAAAACTAAAGAGGCCCTGTGTACCTGAAGACACAAGGCTCTTGGGACATCACCTGGTGCTAGAATGAATGCTTGGCATCTGTCGCACTGTAAACAAGAAGTGGGATGAAGATGATGCCACAGTACAAAAAACTGCTAAACAAGAAAACCGTTCAGAGATGTCAATTACAGCTTTTTGGTGCTTAGCCATAATGGGGCTGCCCTGTTCCAAATACAATACTCGCGTTTTAATCATATATGTCTCGTGAGGAAAATAGGGGGGAAATCTGTGGATATAGAATATATAAGTGGTTATATTTAGAATAAAAATGCATTTCTAAATCACAGGCTGTCAGTACCTATCCGGGCAAAGTTCAAAGTCCTACAGGGTTTGGATCTAGCCTGTTGGAAGGTCCTACTCATTTCACAGGCCACTTCAGTGAGGATATGAAGGAGGGCCTTCTCAGTGGCCGCTCCCCAGCAAGTGTGGTTTGGGCTCTTCCTTGCTCTCCTTCCACCGGCAAGCAAAGCCCTCTTTATTTACGAAGGCCTTTGGACCTCAGCTGGCTATGAGTAAAAGGTCTTTCGATGGTGTGCGCTGTGCCCATTTTTCTTTTTGTTGTTGTTGTTGTTGTGATTTGAAATGTTTTTGAATTATTTTAATCTAGTGCTTTTTAATATGATAATTATTTAATAACATTTTAATATTATGATAATACAATAACTTGCCCCTTGTCATAT